CTCAAACCATAGCTCACTTGATTCATAAGAGTAAAGAAAACATAGAACGGGTGGGCCATTTTCATTTCATATTTTCTGCCTTTTACTTCTGCGCAACGCGTGTCAGGAGATTTTAACGGAAATTAGTCTTTACTCGACTAGGACCGACTTGTCTAACGAAAGCTTAACTATTGAAGAAAGGCGTATTAAGGGGTGGTTCAGTTTTTTTATGTTTTTAACCTTTTTTTATTTCAAAACATGTACCGTTTTAAAATAATTTCAAGTTAATATTTCGGGATATCAGACTTCAATTAACTTGGTTATTGATCATGCAGCTACCAAATATAGTAGTTGCGCGTAGTTTACATGTACCAATCTATTATATAGGCATTATAAATTTGTTATGTCCGTTATTGGATATTGTTCTGTTCGGATGCGAACGAAACGACTGAGCTATATTAATATGATACTACGAAAACTTGAATTAATATCGCCGTTCCCTTTATCACGGTAGGTTTACTTAGTGTTTCCATTTCACGTTTATTTTGGGATTTGATGTTGATAAAGTGAATACAGAGCACAGGTATAAACTACATGATGTAAACAAGTATGGGGCCACTCATCGCCTGCTTGTTTTAATCTATGCAAATAAATAAAATAATACCTATGTATGAGATTATTTAGATATTCCTTAGTTGTACTGTGTTAGGTATTTATATTTATGCATTTATTTATTAATTTATGTTATAAGTTATAGTAAAATATGTATATATGGGTAATGAGATAACATTAAAGGGTTTTCTTGGTTAATGATTCTGACTGAACTAAATGTAAAGAAATATGCATCATCATATCCATTTAAAACAGATATTTGCTTAATGTTCCCATAATATTTAAATATATTATTGTATAATTGGCATGACTATAATACATTATTTTTAATATTTATGTATTTTAAAACGAAAAATAAACTAAGATGTATATTCTATATCTCGATAGCCTGCTCCCCGATAACCGGCTTAGAAGACTAGTCCTCAAAGAAATGGGTTAAAAGTCTTGCCTTATCTTCATCTTAGCCTATTTATTTTATAAAATAAATAATATATTTTAGTTAAGGTTACGGCTTTATCAATTCTTTAATACAAATATTTACAAAATTTGACCTGAATACAAGCAAAAAGGCAAAATATACTAAATTTTCGTATATTTTTACCTAGGTACTGGATTTTTGCTTAAAAGCAAACGGAAATTTTATTTTCAAAATACACAATCATATTAGTGATAAGTATAGTATATTACTAAAAATATTGTTTCTGTAAAAGAAAAAAGACACTAACGATGTGGCTTTCGAGAGAATGATAATAAATTCATCTTATGTTTTTGTTAATAATTATTAATTTTCATTTGTTTTTCTGTATTATCCAGAATACGCGCACTGTATTCATAGTGTATTTACACCATACTTAAAGCGTTTGTATCTAAAAAAACTATTCTCAAGTAGGTATAATTTTTTAAAACTTATATACTTATAAGTTATTTTCCCGTGGGAATGAGATGATCTATTGTGATAAAAAGTAGCCGATGTTACTCTCCAGCACTCTAACTATCTTCACACCAAAAATCACGCCAATCCGTCACTCCTTTTCGACATGAAAGAAGGACAAGCAAGCAAGCAAACAAGCAAACAAACAAACAAACAAACAAACACATTTTCACATTTATAATATTAGTATTGATTTGGAAGACATATTTACTTAATAATTTATTTTTTATTTACTTTCACATTTATAATATTAGTATGGAGTATGGATATAGATTGACATTTATCATTATGGTATAAAAGATTGATTTGAACAAAATGTACCTACGTACATTCATAACAAAAATCCCTGAACGAAACAATGAGCTTTTCGAAAATTCACAGTTTTTTATATATCTATCATTTATTCTGGCAATAATTTCAAACGAAAAAGCCCGAAATAAGGCAATCTAGTTTTTAATAACACACTTTAACACAGTGAATAGTTCTACATTATAGTATGCAATTATACTAAAAATATTTTTTAATTCAATAAAATAATAATATTACGATAACTTTACAGGTTTTCTAAAGCAACATGTTAATTAAAGAATTAATGGACTAATAGCTATATTACCTGGTTTATATATTTAGAAGGTACCGATTTATGAAAATAACTATTTAAGACTAGCGACTCACCTTCGGTCGGTATCGGTTTAGTATAAATTTCTCAGAGACGAAATTTATTTTCCCGCAGTAAAAAGTATCCTATATGTTAACCCGGATAACCAGGTTTCATCATACCAAATTTCATCAAAATCTTTCTACTGCTTTTCTCGTGATGCGGTCACAGACACACAGATAGACCGACAGACAGACAGACAGACAAAAAATCTAATAACTATAGATTCAGCCTCTGTATTGATATTAATGACTATTTCAATAAGATTTTCCAAAAAATTTTCATGTACTGATTCGACTCAGAATTTTATTATATGTATAGACGAATTATAAGAATATATAGGAAAGTGTTGTACCTATAATGTTTAAAGGTAAAAACATTCAAATATATCAATGGTGATATCTTAAAAAATAAAAACCGGAACGCTACGAACGAACGTATCCGTAAAGTATTTTTGTCGTGTGTCAACACTGACTTGTTAGATTAAGCATATTTTGCTTTATTTTCTTTTCTGCTAAACATATTACTATTACAGCTAACTTTTTATTAATACAAGTTACGTGACCTACGTAGAATGGTCTATTTTATCTGACTCTCCCTCAAGTATTAAAAAAAAACTTAATATAAATCATAAATTGCAATACACAAGCTAAACAGAAAATAGTTACGAACATAAAAACAAGTATGTGCCACACACATAGTGCACTAACTGCGTAAGTATCCACAAGTCAAACAATATTGGAGTGGACGAGAAACGGTGAAATTGAGCCAGAATCATTTATAAATGGGGGGATAAACGAAGGGGGACGTAATAGGAGGGGAAAGGTGCGCCGCTGCATTTTGCATGAGCCCTGTTGGTGGCTCGATCTGCTTTTACATACCGTCTCGCTTTCACGCTATAATATAAGCGTGATGTTTAATGTTATTTGGCCATATAATCAGACTATTACTATAAATGTGAAAGTTTCATTTTGTATGTATGTGTGTTTGTGTGTGTGTATGTGTTGGCGAGTGCGTGTGCGTGTGTATATGTGTGTGTAGGTTTGTTATTTCTTTACCATGAAACAACGCTCGGATTTGCAAGTATTTTTATTTCTATCTATTTATTTTAAAAGACATTGACCTGGAATAACAAACACATATAAGGCTACTGTGAGATACATAAGGATGTAATCGAGCGAAGCGAGTTTTGATGTGGACCCGGACAACCAGCTATCATCATAGCTCATCAAAATTTTTCAGACAAAAGTTCTAAAAGCCATAGATTTGGCCTCTGTATCGATAATAATGTCTATTTCAATAAGATTTTCCAAAAAATATTTAATGTACAGATTCGACTCAGTTAGAATTTTATTATATGTATAGATAACAAATTTCAATTTCATAAGCGCTGCGATACCTACGCTGGGTGATCTTTGTCTTTGTGGAACCTTCAGCAAGAATCTAAAACTTTGTGTTGCGTGTGAAATACTAGTATACTGTATAATTCTAAAATTCTAAATTATTTTATCATCGTATTATGTATATTTAGTATATACAATAAATGGTAATGCTATTGGTATATAATAAATATGGTAATTGTAATTTAAGCATTTTTTTATTAAGGGTTTATGAGCATCGCCTTCTATTAAAAAGTCCAGAACTGACATGTTGTTAAACATCGTGCTATAGTAATAAAGTGTGTAAAAAACGTGAATAAAAACGTGAAAAAAATAAAAACAAAAAAAACGTGGTATATGTATAAAAATAGAGTAGAAGGTAAAAGAAAAATGTTTTTAATTCTAATAATTACAATGACAATAGTAAAGTAAAATCGTAAGTAAGATTGAGTCGGTACCGAATTAAGTTGAATTATTTACATAGATTCAGGTAGCGAAGTAGGGGAGGTGAGGGACCAGTCGCCGACCCGGTCTGCATTTTGCATTAGATTTAAATTGTTTACGTCGTTAAGAAAGAAACTTTTCTCTAACAGGCCGAGACGATAGCAACTTACGCGATTAAGGAGTATTTAATTTAGCTTTTTAACAAATAAACTTGGGACTAAATAAGGTTTTTAATTCTTCTTTATAATAACACATACCTACAAATCGTTAGTTTCTTATTTTATTTTGAAAATTTAAAATATTCTTACAACTTGAGTTATGACTTTCATATCAAAATGATTTATGCATTTAGCATTTATTTAACTAAGCAAAATAAAGTATCTAATCAACTTAACTACATTATATAATAAAAACTTTAAAAAATAAAATAAAAACCGCCGTTCAGACACGAAAATGTAAAGTATAACTAAACGGAGGGTTTCATTTAGAATAGATATTTTCGAAGCCGGTGTCAGACGATGCAAAGCAAATCTAATATATTTCGATTCGTAAAATTCATATTTACCTATTAGATATTCATATCTTAAAATATTATAACTTCGAAAATATCTGATTAGGTATCTATTAGGAACAAAAAAAAAACAAAATAGAAACAAAAAAATAAACAAAATAGAAACAAAAAAATCCAAATCGGTTCAGGCGTCTTCAAGTAATCTGTCAACTTACATAAAAGAAAGATTCCGATGAATTGAGAACCTCCTCCTTTTTGGAAATTGGTTAAAAATCAAGTAAACTTTTTATAATTTACTCTCATAACATTATTAAATGTCTACAATAATTATTATGTTATGTTATGAAAACACATTGTTCACTGAGTCTATACAAAGCAGTGTATTCATTATTGTATTTATGTCATGATGTAAATATTATAATGATAGTTCGTAGCTAGATAGTGCCGTTTGTTAGTGGGTATCGTTGCACCATGAAGATTTTTCCAATGTTAACGCTATTTTTACTATGTAATAGTGGCGAGGTTAGCTGTTACAGTTTCTTTGATTTTATGTCAGTAAAAGCTAATGAATTTGTTAGTAAGATTAAAAACGCTTTCGAGGATTTAAGAAACAAAGTCAAAATATTTATTTTTCCTGAGCTTGAAGAAGATAAATTTTTAGAACGAAGGAGCTACGATTTTAATGGAAAATCTAATAAAGTGTTTTGCGATTTTGTAGAACAAGAAGCCGCTAATATTGATTCAGATTCCTCGGAGTATATAAATCTAAGGTCTGAACCTACAGCGCTCATGTCTACTCCCCAGTTAGCTGCATATCATGGTAAAAGGTTTGAATCACATATAGTTTTAACAAAAGATGGTTATCTACTCACAATACATCGTTTAAGACGACCATTTATAGTAAATGCGGATGAAAGAAATGAAGTATTAAATGACACCATTTTGCTACATCATGGATTACTCGGTAGTTCAGCTGATTGGATCTTAATTGGACCAGAGAAATCACTTCCATATATACTGTCAAAAGCAGGATATGACGTGTGGTTAGCTAACGCTAGAGGAAACTATTACTCGAGAGGACACATTTCGAAGAGAATGGACTCTTTGGACTATTGGCAATTTTCATTTCAAGAAATTGGACAATATGATTTACCAGCCGTTGTAGATTATATTATTGCACTTAAAAATAGCACTGACAAAATAACTTTTATTGGGCATTCGATGGGGGCAACAGCTTTCCTGGCCATGTTGTCTTCTTTACCAAATTATAATAACAACTTCAGAATGGCAGTGTTTTTAGCACCACTTGTATATATGACTAACACAAAAGGCCCTTTTAAAATAATAACAACAATGGCTAAACATCCACCAAAACATTTGTTAAGACTGCTAGGGGAAGGGGAGTTTGTTCCTGGAAGAAAAATACCGAACTGGATAGCAAATAAATATTGTAAAGGGCTAGATATATATTGCCAAAACCCCTTGCTATTCCTTAGTAGTAGTATACCAGAAGAAAACTTATGGGACAAGAGTTTGATGGCTAGGGTGCTCTACCATATACCAGCTGGTGGATCAACAAATACAGTTTTACATTTTGCTCAAATGGCTAAAAGTGGAAAATTTCATAAGTATGATAATGAAAACGATGAGTTTTCTTTACGTCATGTTAAAGTGCCAATTGTAATGTTTAGTTCAAGTGGCGATTTACTTGCTACTATTCCTGATGTATTACGACTATATTTCAGTATAACAAATCCAATTGATAATTATGTTATTCGTGAAAAACAGTTTACTCATATAGATTTTTTGGTAAACTCTGACGTCAATACTTTAGTTTATGAAAAAGTAATTGCTTTCTTAAAAGGTACGGTTGAATATAACATATCAAATTTTATTGAAAATAATTAAAGAAATGTAACTAATTAAATAAGGATATTTTTTTATTTTTTTTTAATTATCCTTTCAATAAAATCTCCTGTTACATATTGCTAATGCATCAGTTCTTCATTTTTAAATTCATTCAATTTTATACATTGTAAGAGAAACAAATAGAATCGTTGTCAGTTTATGTATAAAAATATAATTAATTATGGTTTAAAAAAAGAAATATATCCACCAAACCTTGTCTAACATAACCTAATATAACATAACGTACCTAACTGAAAGGTTTCATATCGATTTCCTGGCTCCATCTTCAGATTATTACTGTTGCTAATCTGGAGTTTACATTTTTGCAAAGCTTATATCCATATGACTAATAGAAATAAGCTACAATAGCCTTTTAAATTGTAATGACATACATAGGCAATTACTCGTACTTGCAAGCATAAAAAATAAAAGTGATTTTCAAATATTATAAATTGTAGCTTTCTCTTTTCATAAAATGTTCTAGATTTCCCTTCACATGAATTTCTAATTTTTTAAAATTGTGTTTTATTTTATTTTATTTATTTAAATCTACCAGTGACAATTACATCAATACAATATTGTTTAGTAAAGATAATTAAATACATTTATTCTAAATGCATTATCTTTTAAGGCAGATACAGCATGCAATTATTAGAAATATCAAATGAAATACATTAATTAAAAATTAAACACATTTGTTTTAATTTAAGTTCAGTAGCTAATTAATTTCCTAGGTTTATTTTGTTTTAATTTTATGATTAAATTAATTTATGTTTATTTACAATACTATCAGTATTCATATAAAATAAAACAAAGCAAACGTCTATTAAAGCGTAATCCTCTATACTAACGAATCAATATATCTTTTATATATGTACTTGAAGTCAGTTGATTATTAAACGTTTCAGCAAACACAGTGTTTATGTCCTAGGGACGTAACTTTACTTAAAGACAGTATGTATGTAAGAAACGTCCTCATTTTTATTGGTGATCTCGTCAAATGAGAAAACTTTTAGGTGCTTCTATAGCATCTCAAGTTATTTCAGAACTTAATCCTTAGAGTTGAGGCTACATAAGATAAAAATTAGCTATATGTTTGGCTACACATATGTGACAAGTGCGAGACGAAATTTTGAAAAAGATTAATTACATATATGAAACTAGCTGAACCCGAGGCTTCGCTCGCGCTAAAACTACACAAAAACTCTAAAAAATTGGTTTCATACAAACTTTCACCACCTATTTTACCCCTTTATAGGATGACTTTTGAAAAATGCTAAAACACGTATTTATTTATTTGTATTGAAGAGCATTAATACCAAGTTTCAAGTAATTCTGATCAGAAACATATTTTAGATTGTACCTATTGTAACGCATTTTCCTAACCTAATCAGAATTTATCGAAAATTTGCCATTAAACCATGGCTAAAGCAAAACAATCTGTTCGTCTGTCCATATGACTCGGGCATTTCACTCTAAGATTATTTGAGTTGCATTAATATATGGGGTATTATAAAATACAAACTTATTTACGCAGTCAATAAAATAAATATCATACAGGGATAAATATTTTATTTTGCTTTTGACAGAACAACGTACGTTAAAACAAAACCAAACATTTGATACAATGGAGCCCTTGATATGCGAGTCAGACTCGCAATTGTCCGTTTTTGTTTGATAATTATGTCCGAAAATCTAGTCGAATTTTAAAACTTAACCTAACTATTGACTTACTGAATTATACTCTATAATTTACTGACCAATTATCAAATCGACGAAACATAAAAATATGAATGACAGTCACTTTTTTGCGGAAAATCTAGCGACCGTGATTCAGAAAATGATTTCAAAATAACTCCATCGCATAGATGCTTAGCACACTGGTAAACTAAAACTCTTCGCTCCTTATTATTAGGCAATATTTATTTAAAATAAAAAATAAGATTTTCATGAGTCTTGAAAAAATATACAATTTTTTTATTGATATTCATCATACATTTGATATTATACAAGAAATTAATCTAATAGTTTTTATTTGATGCGATTTGAAGCACTCAATCAAACCAACAGACAAACAGACAGATAATAATTCTAAAAAAGATAGAAATTTCCTTAAAAAGTTATACTCAGTCTAACGAACTAATTTTTTTTTTGCAAATAAAAGACACGAAAAACTTACATGCATAGACAATAAAAAATATTAAGACAAAATTAAAGTATCTTGATTTCTTCATTTAAACAAACCAGGTAGATATTAACCGACGCGTTAGTAAAGTGAAAACAAAACGAAATTAATTTGCAAATTAGATTCGCGGATCTTCTTAGTGAGAATTAAAGAAAAATTCAAAAAGTTTTAATTTAGTTGTCCATTATGATGCAAATATTATACGTCAACTATTGTTCAGAATTACATGCTATTATAAAAAAAAATTACAAAAAAATCTAATATTTTTTTAATTACGTAATATTTAAAAAGGATTTAAGTGTTTTACTGCCCTAACATGGTAGCTAATGTATAAAGCCCGATTAGTAAATCAGTATCAATTCTAACAATTTACATCAATTTTATATATTTTATACAGTAAGATATAAATAAGGGTATATTGTTAATATACGCCCAACAGTCTACATCTCTAGAAAGTGAAATAATTCTAGTGGAAATCTTTTATCGGTGAATTAAATTTGGTCCTATTTTACATTTAATGTATGTAACAGAACATTTTTTTCTCATTTTTATTTATTATTAATATTGTTAAAATGAAATATCTACTAAAATATTTATTCAAAGAATAATTGAATAAAAATTATTCAAAGTTTTGTAAAAAAACCATTTAATTGTATTTTTTTTAATAATACCTAATCTTCATTCTCTTTGTTACTTTCTACACGGAACGCGTACAATATTTATTACAAATCTTTTTTAACTTTATATTTATTGTATATTATTAATTTTCATAAAAAATCGATCGTAGCTTTAGTATTCGTACCTTCCTTTCTTCTTACCAGAAGACGCAGTATCTCCAAACTTATAGAATACAGAATTAAAATTTGTTCAGACAGACTTTTTCAGTTATTATTATACAAATGTATATTGGAAAAAAAATGAAAAAAAGCATAAAGTATATATAATACAATGTAAATATGGAATAACATCTTCACATTGCAACTACATTGAGCTCAGTCAAACGTAATTCAATGTCATGAACCTTTAACAGAACTTTATCCATGTAACATCAATTTTCTTCTGAATTACTTTAGTCACTATCAAAAGTTCTTCTGAATAATTACATTCAAATGCATAAGTCAAATCTGATCTCTTTAGAATGCTTACGAATGCATTAAAATTTGCTACTATTAATAATTACCGTTACTACTCATGAATGCTTTATAACTACTGTCTTTTTGCATCTCTTAATACTCATGTGTAAACAAAATAAAAATTGTTATTTTTAACAGTTTTATTCGTTGTTATTGTTGTTTAAATTATATTGCAGGTTGTTCCTAACACCATTTTAATTAACGTGGACCGAAATTTATATTTTACACTGAAATTTTCATTACATTGAACTAAAAGCTGCCCAGAACTAAAACCGATTAAATCATCTATACTATGAAGGAAATAATACAATATACGGAGAATTTTGGGTACGTACTACGAGTATAGGTATACCTACTTAACTTAATATTTAAATGATATTGCTGTTTTGAATTTAAGTTATGATCGTAACCGATATGTTTTTATAAAGTTATAAGGGTAACACAATATTAAAAATACTTTAATATATCTTACGCAATAACTCATGACTGAATTTCAGTACGCGGAAGAACAGTGTGTGCTTTTTTTATTTTAATCACTCTTATAATGGTAAAAAATAATAGTTACGAGCAAAGAAATATAGGTTTAGAGTCCATGACGTATTTGTCTAGTTACGAAAGTGTTTCTGTCAGTAGTATGTAAGACACAAATAATTTTCTTAAGCTTCAGGTTCCTTTGAGCATTTTTAAGGAGAAAAATCAAATAACACTTTTGGAGCGATCCAGATTTCAAAACCAGGACCTTATGATTTGGACGGACATTTAGTCACTTGACCAACAAGGAACAGTTAACAGAGTTCTTAGATAAAATAATATTTACACCAAATAATATAATGTTTTTCTTTAGTCATATTCACTTTACAATAATATTTATCATAGGCGTCGTCTATAATATAATATAATTAGCGTACATCACTACACTAGTACTTAGTCTCATTTCACATTTACAACAAATCGGCTAAAACTATGAATTACCAGACTATCTTTATTATTTTAACCTTTTATCAATTAATAACTAGAGCAGAAAAAAATGATGATATATGTATAAAAAGTGAAGTGCAAAAAGTGTATTCAGATTTTTCAAATTCTATCACGAAATTGTGGCATGATGCACAGTCATTTTTTAGTCGGACACTTACTAGATTTGAAAAAAGAAGGCAACATTTAAAAAAAGCTTTTTACAGATTTATTGATGAAGTGTTTTCTAGTAAAAAATTCAATTGTAGTGAAATTAAAAAGTCATCAACTGGTAATAATAGGTTTCATTCTAATATTTCTAATGTCTTTATTCACGGCTATTAAAATAGTACAAGCCTAAGACATTTAATCATTATGTACACGAACTATGGATGAAATTGTGATGGTTTAGATTGGATAGAAGATTGAGATTGGTTTTTCCCAGACTATAAAACGTGCACCTGCACATATATACATATTTGCTTCGGACGCCCGATATGATGTGTGGGAATCAAACTAGAGAGAAAATAAATATTCAAGCTTCCGTATGACATTCGTTCCACAATTTTTCTGAGCAGAAATGCATTTTTGGAAGAAAATAAATTAATATGTATTCGTATGGATACTCAATTTATCTCTAAGACCTACTGACTTTCAAATAATACAATTGATCGCAATAATACTATATTTTTTAATTTCAGGATCATAGTACCCACGTATTATAT